CTGTCTGTTGTCATGGGAAAATGACTGATCCAAGGTGACATTACTTGAAGGGTGAGAAAATGGCTGATCCAAGGGAGTCCAAAGGGTGGGAACTGATTGTTGTATGATTTTGGGGGTCTTCTGCTCTGTTGTCCATTTGTCCATTTGTCCTTTTGTCCCTCCAAAATAGAGAATGTTGAATATCTTCTGATCCAATGGGAATTGAGCCATGCTGTAAGGGGGTAACCTGGGGTAATTTGGGCTTCTGATCCTGATTCTGGGGTCCTTTGAGTGGTTTTCTGAGTCCTTGAGTATTTGCTGCTATAATGTAGGTGAAAAACAGGATTACCACAGTGTCTATGAAATACACATTTTGCAGAAGACACCAACAGTGACGATAAAGCCTGGAGAAGCAGTACCACAATAAAACAAGTTCAATTGGTAATTCAATCATCATCAACAGGAAATCCAAATCCAACATTTGTGACAAGTTTTTGTTTTATAAATCGAAATTTTGATAATGACAATGGGAATCATGTAAATACACTTGATACTTGTTGAGATAGATGAGTGGTCTACTAAGTGCAGCACACCTAAGTTTTGAGTGACCCTGTTCAGGTGGGCTATCACTAGATGTAAGTACATAATTTCAAAGGTTTCAACATGTTTTTGATTTTATAAAATAATATTTTCATCTTTGGAATCATGTTGATACAAGTTGAAATTTCACTTTTTCATCAATCTCTTTTCTTTCTTGCCTCTAAACATTTCACTTAATTTTTTCATATTAAAACAATGAAATATGCTTTCCTCTGTTTTTTATTAAATATTTATTAAAAAAATCCTTCCCACAACTTAATCAATGTGTAACTAGACTATTTTTGATACTGAGAAAAGGAGAACTCATCTGTTCTGGTTAATTGGGCCTGAGAAGGACACTTAACCCTCAAGAGGCACTTTAGCCCCTCTGACTGAGTATTAGACTGGTTTCAGCCTTGTCTTATTTTTTTTTCTTTAGTTTAATTAGCTATTTTATTTTTCCCCTTGACATGTCAATTTTTCAACAATACACCTCTTACTTGATGAAGACAGTTAGCTTTAGAGTGACCATGTTCAGGTGGGCAAATACTCGATGTATTTAGATGATTCTAACTTAAGGTTGGAATCATGTTCATGATCACTCTCAAGTCGCCTGCACCGCACTTGGTTATATATAGGTCACTCATGTAACTCGGCAGATAATAGGCGTGTTTACATTATTCAAACTTTGGGTATCATGATGTTGACTTATCTCAAAACAATACATTACCATCTTTCGAAGCAATCTTGTTGGATGGTCAAGCTGGGATGAGGTCGGTAGCGAAGGGGGGGTACTGTTCTGTTCTGTTTTTTTTTTTTTTTGGACGAGGAAGACCCTGCTAGTGCGACCGAGGGGGTCCAGTACTGACAGGGTCCCCTTGACAATCCCAAGTTAAGCCCCCTCCCGATCTCCTGCAGATTTTATTTCCGCAGGTTCAATTGGACGTGAAACTTTTGCGCCGACCAAGCCAGAAAAAAATAAAAAAAAATAAAAAAAAAGAAGAAGACATGGCAACAGCAACACTCACTCAGACGAACACCAACTCAAACACCAAGACATCCAGCAGCATCCCTACCACCAGCCAAGCATCAGTATCATCATCCAGCATTCCCGTCAACCCCAACAACCACACAAAGTCAAAGAAGAGAGCTAGGTTCGCCGACGAAAACTCGCAACAAAATACCCCCAATCATACTCAGCAACAACAGTCTCTCTCAAGCTTCATCACCTTCAATCATGACGACCCCCCACAGAAAAAAAATCGTAGCCACGTCGAACCTTCCTCTTTCGATCAGCTCTTCGATCCCTCTGCCAGTGGTATGTCGTTGACCGACTGTTCCTACACCCTCTGTCTGTTGGTTGACCATCTCGATTTCTATTCAGATACGCTACGTCAAGGAATGTACCTGACTTTTATCAATACCGCCTTTGCCGAAAGAGCAAACGTCAGTTTTCCTGATCAATTCTAGCCAACTTGGATCAAGCTATCTTCTTAACACCATCTTTTTTTTTTTACTTGTCTCCACAGGGAAAGTTCGAACGATATGATCAACTATTGGGCCAATTTGATCCACTGGTTTCCTCGCATTCATCAACGGATCCTAATCCGCCCGACGTCTCGATCGAGAGAGTTCAGGGCTGGTTGAGCGCCCTAACCTACATGATCTCTCAACTCGATCGCAGTCATTCCCATCTGGTGGAAAAAGTGGTCAGTTTACCCTGGACCGTCTTGGACGATCAGTTTGTCAGCGTCTTCTCCAGATTCGTTAATGGACTCGTCAGTGCCCGCAGTGAATGGGTTCAAATCGTCTTGGAAAATCTCGTGCAAGGCTTTCATTACGGTCAGTCAATGCTTCCCTCACTTGACATTTTCATGAATCTAACATACATGTGTCCCACTTTAAGATACGATTCCCTTTGAGCATCGCTCAGATCTGTTACCTTCCTCGGTCAATCGAAGGCTCATCTATGCCAGACTTCATAGTCTCCTTCGGTCCATTCTTCGATTAATTCCAACCTTGCCCTCAACACTCTGGCCAATACTCGTTCTTTATTTCCCCAAGAAGCGTGAACATCGCGATGGACATGTCTGTTATCTACACAACCTATTGAAAATCGCCTGCTATTGCCCCGATCTGAGCGCCAAGATTGTTCAACTCTGTATCGAGAAGTGTCTGCATATTGATGTTGAGATTCCAGTGGGCGTGGAGGAATGGGAGGACGATGAAGGTCGTTTAGAAGAGGGAATTTTTGGCAGGCCGATCGAAGATGCTTTGGATAAACCGTGGACCAACAACGATGGCGAAGACTCGGACGTGGATGAGGAAGAGGAGGATGGGGTTGAGGAGGTGGATTTTGATGATCTATCGTCAGACGAGGGTGGTGATATGCCCGACGAAGATAATTCAAAACCTCTTCCACCTAGGTTAGCACGCAAAGATCAGAAACTAGCGGCGAAACTGGACGGAATGCTACGATGCATATTCGATCATCTACAACAGATCAGCTTCGGTTGTGGTCTCAATGCGACCAGTACAACAATAACCAATCATCTTGAGACGGCAGTTGAAGAAGCTGCAGAAGAGCCAAAGGAAACCAATCCAACCTCCCCAACCGATTTACAGCGACAATCCGATCGAGAAGCAATCTTCGACATCCTTCTATGCAACTTTGAATCGTCCATTCTACGCACACGTCGGACACGCTATGTGCAATTTATAATTTTCTGGTACGCATCATTGGACCCGAGGTTTACGGAATCGTTCCTAGTGACGTTGGTAGAACGAGGGCTGTACGAACGAGGGGACAACACACTGCCGGTGGCCATTCGAGTGGCGGCAGTGAGTTACATCGCCAGTCTGATTAGCCGAGCGAAATTTATCGATAAGCGTGTGACACGACAGGTGGTGTCATTGCTATGTGCCAGGTTGGAGTTGGGGATGAAGGAAACGGACAAGATGAAGGTCAATGGACATGTGATTTGGTATGCGATCGCGCAGGCAATTTTCTACATCTTTTGCTTCAGATGGAAGGATCTTTTGGTGGCAGAGGATGATGAGGAGCTGGAGCAGGATGGGGATGATGAGTTTACAATTCATCTTACGCAACCCAAGAAATTCAACGATCGATGGTTGAGTGGATTGAAGATTC